AAACTCGGCATACAAGCCCAGCCGGGTGCTGAGGGAGCTGCAGCTGGACCAGGAGAGCCGCTGGCAGGGCCATGGAGAGACACTCAAAGCAAAGTGAGGGGAAGCACCATTTAATCTTCATCTCAAAGTACTGCACTCTGTAGAAAACCTGCAGGAGTAGCAGCTGGCCCATTTTAAAACACATGCTGAATTTAAAATGTGGAAATAAATATCTGTACAGCGGAATTCAGCACAAGCGTCTGATGATTCTTTAAAGCGATGATTTAGCATCTGAGTTTCTTTTAAGAGAGAACTTGCAGGTCCTTGTTGGATCAAACATGAATATAATAGAAGTTTTAGTGAGTGGGATGAGTCAGTTTTTAAATAATGTTTTTTAACTAAATATTGTGTGGAAATGTTAAGGATTCAAAGCTATGTATTTAATATGTAACCTTGATTTTCCTTCAATGTCAGGTACAAGGGGAAGAGTTACCGGGCCACTGTGGAAATAGTCCGCACTGCAGACCGTGTGGCAGACTTCTGCAGGAAAACATGCATCAAGCTCGAGTGCTGCCCGAACCTGTTCGGACCTCGCATGGTTCTGGAGCGCTGCTCAGAAAACTGCTCTGTCCTCACCAAGACCAAATACAGTAGGTGGTTTACAGAACTACACACTGCAGATTGTGGAGAGGTCTCTTTTCTATCAGAGCAGACTATGAACATAACCTCTAATTGCTTTAATGACTTAGTACTCTCTATATTTGCTTGTCAGCCGTGACCTTAATTCTTAACATTATTCAAACGTATTCTAATTTAATACAAAGCTCATTATTTTTTCCTTTTTAAGAAACCTTCAGCTCTTTTCATTTCTGTTGCTCATGAATAGAAATGATTGAGTATGTGAATGCTCGCCTAATGAATAGAGAAACCCTGCAAAGCACACGGACAGAATGTGTGATTTAGATATGTCATTACTTCCTACAGGCAATGGATGTATGTTTTGCTTTAAACATGTCAGAATTGTCCTCTTTTGTCTTTAACTGAACTATTTTGACCGCAGAAAGTCACTTTTTTTCAATTTCAAATCTAATTGTTGATGTGTTTACGCTGCAAACCTGGAGCTAAAGACTGATGCAATGAAAACATTTTCACACTTTCACTTTTTTAATATCACTCTAGACAGCACATTTCCCCTCTTGGGTATTTATCACCGCTTCCCTTAAGAGAATACATGTATTACAATACATTTTTTTTAAAAGTATTCAAAACGGTTTGATCGATTCATTTCCATCTATATCAATGATGCATTAAAATGTTGCACGTCAAATGCAACAATTCCACAATAACCCTGTCGTCTTGTCACCAGCTTATTACTATGGAAAGAAGAAGAGTAAGCGTGTTGGCCGTCCCCCCGGGGGCCACTCCAACTTGGAGGGTGGAGTGAAGAGGAGAGGGAGGAGGAGGAAGAGGAGGAAGCAGCTCTTTGTCCATAAGAAGAGACGCTCCTCCGCCTCGGTGGATAACACGCCTGCTGGGTCTCCACAGGTGACACACGCACTTACATATTTTCTTGAATGCACCAATCACCATTTACTTTGATTCTGCCTCTGTGCACAACTACACTGTAGCTGTGTTTAGGACATTAAAACCTTTGAACAGTTTACCTGAATCTGTGCTAACTGTCCTTTTGACGTACAGGGCAGCGGCGATGAAGAAGATCTGGATGAAGATGACTCCCTGAGTGACTCCGGCTCCGACCTGCAGGATGATTCTGAACAGTCGATCGAGAAGTCTCAGCCCGCCACGCCGTGCCCCTCCCCCCCGGCAACACCCAGACCCACGCGCCGGCGCAGGAAACCCCGCTCACCCTCGTTCTCCGATGATGAGAACCGCCCTCCTTCCCCAAAGGTAATGAGAAGACACTTTTAAAGATCATTATAAATACTAGAGACAAAACGGGTATAGTATGCATGTGCAACACTCTTTTAGAGGTGCAGGATCAAAGAAGACTGGGAAAAAAAGATCTGCATACAAATCTTTTGACAATGCCTGATGAAGTTCTCTGCTAAATCAAATAGTTAATAATGAATATTGAAAGAAAATGGAAATATAATGTTTTGGTATTTATATTACAAATCTGACTATAGTATAAACCGCAATACAAATACAACTGCCTTTTTTTGTCTAATTCATCCATTCCAATATTGTTTTTACGGTTTGAACTTGCCCTTACTAGTACATGTATAAACCAATAAGACTGAAGCAGCCAGTGTTTTCTTTTACAAATATCCTCCTCCTTCTCAGCATGAGTTGGGATACTCTCAGAGTCTTTGTCTGACTCACTATCTGTGTGTTTATAGACTTCAAAGATTGAGGCTCCTCCGAAGTTGTGTTTAGACACCAGCCCGCTGGAGTGGAGCGTTACTGACGTGGTTTGCTTCATCAGGACCACTGACTGTGCTCCTCTTGCTCGGATTTTCTTGGATCAGGTAAGAAATACTCAGACTTAATGGCCACTCAGGATGAGAGCTCACTCTATTCAACTGCAATAAGTGCATAACACACTTGTTTTGAATCCATGGTCACAGATACAAAACAACACTTTACCCTCACTGGAAAGCAATGCTATGTATGTTTTGCAGGAGATTGACGGACAGGCACTTTTGCTGCTGAACCTCCCAACAGTGCAGGAGTGTATGGACCTGAAGCTGGGACCGGCCATCAAGCTGTGCCACCACATTGAGAGGGTCAAGCTGGCGTTTTATCAGCAGTTTGCCACGTAGCCGCCGGCGAATGAACACGGACCTGACTGCATACTGTTCTGTGTATTCATTCTGTGAAAAACTGTTTTTTCCAATTTTGACTTTTACAACACTGGACGTCCTTTTACTATCATGAATATACTTTGTTGTGTTGGAAAGGAATTAAGAGCTACTTTAAACCTCAAAAACAGTTTAGGCGCCCCTTAGGAAAGACACAGCAGGAAACTGAAAAACGGAAGCGATTCAAGACACTTTGATGTCTTAAGTCAATTTAAATGACAGCATATTTCGCAAAAACAAGGCAAGCCATCATCAAGGACTTACTTAAATTCTTTTTAACTTGTGTTTCTTCAGAGTGTCCCGAATTGTACTCTTTTATTTATGTGGATGACCAAGTGCCAGTGCTACAACTCAGCCTGTTTTGGCCATTGTTGATTTCTCCCTGACCTGCTGTCTGTACAAGGGAATACCACTGATTCACAGCTTTTACTTTAACCTGGAATATCTGTTATCTGCGATCACTTGGGTCCAGTTTTGTTGAAAATACGTTCTAGTTTTTTTGGTGCAGATAAGGCTAGAAGCAAGACATGACAGACCTCCTACATTGAAGTGCTTAAACGCAAACCTTTTCACTAAATCAAGACTAGTGCAAATGCTGTATCTTTAAGCCTTTTTTTATGGTTTCTAGTTTAGACACTCTTTTTATTTTTAACAAAACATTTATCCCAATAATCAAGCAAAGAAAGAAAACTGTTTGCATACAGGTGGAATCAGAAGTTTTGTAGGATTATTATTTTTTTAAAGCCAGATGTAATAATAAACTAGAAACTGATTGTGGAGTTGACAGTGTCCCAAGGTTAAGAGATTGATAATAGTGTAAACACCAGACATGTATGTTGTACTAACAGTTTGCAAATGTTATCCAGGTGAATTCAGATACAATCTGCTAAAAAAACTGATGTAAAGTGGGCCCTCATCTCAAGATTTCAAATGTTGTTCAAGCTTATACAGTATGTAAGAGCAGTTTACAATGTAAGGTAATGCAAGCACAAGCAACACCATGTACTATATGGTGGTATGCAAGTATGACGGTGCATGTTTGTATATAGTGTATATATAATCAAATACCTTCTAGTGCAACAGGGTGATTAGAAAAAAAAATTAGAAATACAATTTCTACATAAGCAATGTGTAATTCCCCTAAATATACAGTATATTTGCACAGAATACACCTAAACGTTCTCATATGGGGTGTTTTAACTAATTCAACTATAGTTGATTATTTGAGCCATTTGTTATTTGTTGTTTTTAACAATTAACTTAATAACTTGGCAGTTTCAAACCAAGACGGTATTATCAAAGTGCTTTTGTGAATTAGTTTTCCTCTTTTTACCAGTTTTTGTAGTGTGATTTACTGTATTGTTCATTTTGTGTGAGAAAGAAAGCTCTATAGGTTCTCTGTTTACTAATGTGCTTGTTTGCGTTATATTAAAAGCAATTGAGCAGCTTTGTTTCTCCTATTCCAAGACGATAACTGCTATTTAAGAGATGACTGCAATTAAATCAATGAAAACAAAATCTTGCAGTCTCCTGGTGTGTGTTTGTGTGTAGGCCTACGTGTCTATATACTTTTTTCAGGATGCAGTTTGAGTACTCATTACTTTTTTAACATATAATGTGTTTATCACAGCTGTTAAAGGTGGAGCTACTTTTAATTGTTTTATACACTGCTGCTTGATATCTTAACCTATAATTATATATATATATATCAGTTTATCTATTAGTTTATTTATATTTTCTTTTAGCTAATGAATCTGTAAAGTAACTAATTTAGTCATAAATGTAATCGAGTAAACAGTATAATATTGGCTTCCAAATTGTAGTAGAGTGGAAGTATTAAGTCGCATAACATAAAAAATACTCAAGTACAAACCAGCATTTTAGCTGGTTTTTACTGGGGCTGGGGCAGTTCAACTTGATTTGGGGGGGGGGGGGGTGTCCCATAGTTGATGGGCGCTGTACGAAATAGAGGCGTAGTTCTGTTAGTATAAGATAATAAGATGGAATTTGTTGATCCAAAATCGGGAATTTCTAACTTTTTTTTTTTTCCTCCCCCGATGGGTTGATTCGCCTATACTGCCTATGCCAAGGGCCGGCCCTGAGTACAAGTACCCCAAAATCGTACTAAAGTACAATGCTCGAGTAAATGTATTTCACTACTGATGAAACTAAATCCTGCATCCTCCCGCTGTGTCATACATTTTCCAGGATGCAGTGCGAGGCTACGCAGATCACGTGAGTCTGTCAACATGAGTGGGCTCTGCTGGCCAGGGAAGCAGTTGGATGAACGCGAGCCGTGACTGCAATTATTCATATTCAATTCTCGTAAACTAGCTATTTTTTAACTTTCTTTAAAGCAACGAGGAATCAGGGCACCGGACAACGCAGAAAAGGAAATGTTAAGTTTGCTAGCCGAGTTAGCTTAATATAACTGAGTAGCTAGCTTGGGGTCTAGCTAGGTGTAGCATCTGGATTTCATTTTTACTATGGACGCTTGTCTCTCGCCTGAATATCACGTGTGGTTGACATGCATTGTACAACACATATAAAACAAGTAGCACCTGCCCTTTGTGTCTAGAGAAGCTGCATGGCAGGTTAGTTGTGATGTCATGAGTGCTGGTTTAGATGGGATACGTTATCACCGCAAAACTAAACTAGCTATTGATTTGTAATGTTGCAGTCGGTTCCTGCTAACAGGCATTGTAACTTCTTGTAACCTTTTGGCGATTTTCTTCTCATGACACCTTAGCTATGACTGCATGTATGTGTGTAGCATGAGTGTGCGCCTGGACGGGAAAAGATGCCACCCTCTTTCACCGAGCACTGTCCGGCTTATCCCATCGATTAGCTGACCGACACTTGCTGGAGAGGACTGGGAAGCTACCGTGTGTGAGAAGCTATTATCAATTACTCTCGTGCTGCTCGTCTGTCCCATGGCTGCTGTCGGCGGTGTGAACATGCTCGGTCCTGCAGGGCTGCCGCCCGCCATGTCCTTCACCAACACCTCGGTGTCCGACAGCCCGGCGCCGGGTACCGATACTCGGGGCTGCGAGAATGGAGCCCTAATGGACTCGTTTGGGATTTTCTTGCAAGGACTCCTGGCTATGATGGCTTTCAGCATACTGATGCGTGAGTATGGACACTCAGATACCTGACACCGGCTGCTGATGTGAACGAGCAATTAACCAATAGCATCACTCTGTCAATCAATGCGATATTGATTTCAGCTGGGAGGCGCGTGCTCGATTCTATAAGAGAAGGAGGCAAACACTACTAGGATGGAAAGACCTTCTGTCTGTGTTGAAGCAAAACATAGGGTTTTCAGTACAGTGTGTCACTACTCGGTGGTTGTATTAAAATATGCTTACTCTTCACACTTCCTGGTACATGTTCGACCTTCTCTGCTGTCAAATATTCATATATATTTGTCGAAACTGCTTTTCCCTATAGGGGTTTTGTTATGCAGGTGTCAGCCGGAGTTTGTAAAAAGTCAGGGAGTTAAGGGAGCAATTGCAGGAAAAAGGACTAGGCAAGGCATATTTATTTATATAGTACTTTTCAACACAAGGCAATTCAAAGAAAATGGCATTTAAAATCAGTCATTAAAAAGAAAAGCTAATAAAATAAACATCGAAAGAAAAAATACATGGATAAAAGTTACAGTGCAGTTTAAGATATGAATAGTTCAATTAAAAGTCTTCAGCCTGGATTTAAAAGTATTCAGAGTTGCAGCGGACCTGCAGGTTTCTGGGAGTTTGTTCCAGATATTTGGAGCATAATAACTGAACGCTGCTTTACCATGTTTAGTTCTGACTCTGGGGACAGAAAGCTGACCAGTCCCTGAAGACCTGAGAGATCTGGATGGTTCATAATTTAGCAGGAGGTCAGAAATGTAATTTGGGCCTAAACCATTCAGTGCTTTATAAACCAGCAGCAGTATTTTGAAATCTATTCTTTGACACACAGGAAGACTTACCTTAAGTGTTTTAGCAGTTCACTCAAAAACTGTGCCTACACTTCCAAGTCACTGTAATAGTGATTTGTGTTACACTTCCCCAAGGGACTGTTACAAAATGTTCCCTGCTGATACCGTAAAAGCCACAATTATTTCTCCTCAGTGTTTTGTAAGAACTTCTGTATATGTATTTTAAACGGTGTTATTGTTCTATTTGTCCCGAGCTCTCCATGAGTAGGCTTTACATTAGAGGTGGGCAGCCAACCTCATAACTAGATAAACAGGGAAACATTTGTATAGGGAGAAAAATCACCCTGGCTCTTTAGCTGTGGTTCCATTCAGTCAGTGTCTGGCACAGCTCTGACAGATGTGTGACCTAATGAGAGCAGCCTCAGTAGTGTGTGTCCCACAGCCACGCAGCAATGAGGAATGTTCAGCACATTCAGACTTTCCCCAGAGGCAGCTCTCTGAGCAGAAGAAGTGGGCTGAGGGCTGTGTTCACATCACACCCAGCTGCACACAGGGTACACACCCTGTGTTAGTCTAAAGTCACGCTTGTGCTCGAAACAGAGACTGAGGTCACACCTCCCTGCATAGGTCGCCTGCATGAAAGCACAGAAAGCCTTGGGAAAAGCTCAACTGCAACTTTTAAGAGGTGACATTGTCAGAATAAAGGGGCTCATGTAGAAGGTAGACGTCCAGGGAGGTATCCGAAACATTTAGAGTATGTCTTAACTTTAGAAAATGTCACAACGTGGTAAAGCTCGCCTCTGCTGATGCAGCACTGTGTCATAGGAGTTAAAGAACATGGTGTGATGGAAAACAAGCTGCTTTTGTCAAGAAGAGCAAGAGCTTCATTTGTGTTGCTTCCAATAATGATCATGCGTGAAATGCCTCACTCATTTTACAGAGAGATCAATTCAAGTAAGCATGTCTAAAAAGCCCATCATTTAAACACCATTTTGTATTTGCAGTTACGTTTTATCTTTACAACACTCTTATTTTTCAGTTTGCTTACAGCCTAATCTTTGTCCCTTTTTTGCTTTTTACAAATGTTATCAGACTATATGTAAGAGTTTAATGACTAAATATTGAAGTGTTCTGAGTGTGATTATCTTCAAAAGGGAGAACCTTTTGGGCATCGAAAAAAAAACGTTCCTCTGTTTCCTGTTAACTGTTTTGCTGCAAAGAAGGGCACCGGATTCTTCATTTCCCAGCTGCTGCAGGTTTTAGTCTGGACCCCTAGTTCTGCTTCCTCTGTGACTAACAACACATGTTCTTAAAAGGTTTCTTGTTCTGCATTAGCCAGTTATATAGGTTTAGCCTGTATTTTGTTGCCTGTCTTACTTTACCCAAACAGCTACTACTTACTACTGTTTTACTCCTCACAGTTTAACTGCACTAAAAGGGAAGTCAGCCATTGTTATATCGTGCAAATGTCAATACACGACCTTCTATAAAATCAACAAAATGCTCCCCTGACTCATGACAGCTCACAAAAACATATACCTTGGTCAAATGAAAGAATAAAAACATATTATATTTGATTGATTCTGTCTTTCATTGTGTTTGTGTGTCATTAAAATCCCACTATCTCTGGTACACTCTTTCCCTCACAGTGAAACGCTTCAGGGAGCCAAAGCATGAGAGGAGACCCTGGAGGATCTGGTAATGCTGCTGAGCCAGCTTTAATTTGTTTCTCTGCAAAGGCATCAAATGAATCCCGCTGGAGTCCCTTATCAAATGTCCCGTCCCTCTGCAGGTTCCTGGACACCTCGAAGCAGGCCATTGGGATGCTGTTTATCCACTTTGCTAATGTCTACTTGTCAGACCTCACGGAAGAGGATCCTTGCTCACTGTGAGTCAGTCCTGTATTCCTAAAAGCTCCTTGATTCCACATCAGATTTCCAAGAAACTGTTATTAAGATAAGTAGACATGAGGTTGAATTCTAACCGGGAATCGCTAGGCTGTCCAGCAGGAAAGCTCAAGTTACACTTTACTGTCTCTCCCCAGATACCTCATTAACTTCCTGTTGGACGCTTCTCTGGGCATGCTGCTGATCTATGCCGGGGTGAGAGCCGTCAGTGCTATCGTAGAGTGGAGGCAGTGGGAGTCTCTGCGTTTTGGGGAATACGGTGAGTGTGCTCCAGCAGATTCTTTAATGCCTGTAATGCCCATTGGGGGGCAGTAGCTGCCCTCAGGACTGCAGTGCTGCAATGTCCTTTCCTACAAACCAGTTTGACCCTCAAACAGTTTGTGTATCACTGAAGCGGTGAAATCTGATAAAGATCTGTGCTGTACATATACCTCAGCAGATCTTTATTACCATATTCTGTTTTCCTGTGTGTGTGTGTGTGTGTGTGTGTGTGTGTGTGTGTGTGTGTGTAGGAGAGCCGGTGCAGTGCACAGCGTGGTTGGGCCAGTGCATCCTCTACATCCTCATCATGATGTTTGAGAAAGTCCTCATCATGCTGGTCCTCCTCATCCCTCAGTGGAAGAAGGTCAGGAAAAAAGAGTTTCACTTATTTGAAAATAAAGTCACACAAGTCCTCAGTTTTGCCATAGTTATCTTTTCAATTAAATACACCGTTTCAATATTCAATACCTTCAGATCCATTATTATTGTCACCCAAACAAGTGGATTAGGCAAGGAAAAACAAGCTTTATCTTTCGTACCGTCTCTCACTCACCATACTGTTCGGCTCACGTCATGTTGTTTGCTCCATTTGAACAGATTTGGGGGTTTTTGTGCGTTGAAATTATTGTTGTAATTTTATTTCGAGAAGAAGAGAGCTCATTGATTTTAGAGTTAGTGTAGATAATTGTATCTTTAAGTGTATTGAGAGGCAAAGTAACATGCTTTCAATATAGCTATCTATCTATACCTTTTCCTCTAGTAACAACAACATGAACTCAGTGAGAGTCCAAAGCTTCAGGTTAACATCTCATTTCCATCCCGAACAATCCCTTTTGTTCGGGATGATACCATATGGCAGACTTGCTTTTACTCTACACTTCAACTTTTACCAATTGCAGACTCTTGTGGTTACGTTTAGTAATGTCTGGCAGATTCCAAGAAGAGGTGTGAGCTTCGGCGGACTATCCTTCTACTTAATTATTCTTTCAACTGGTCTTTGAACTGTGTGTGTGTGTGTGTGTGTGTGTGTGTGTGTGTGTGTGTGTGTGTGTGTGTGTGTGTGTGTGTGTGTGTGTGTGTGTGTGTGTGTGTGTGTGTGTGTGTGTGTGTGTGTGTGTGTGTGTGTGTGTGTGTGTGTGTGTGTGTGTGTGTGTGTGTGTGTGTGTGTGTGTGTGTGTGTGTGTGTGTGTGTGTGTGTGTGTGTGTGTGTGTGTGTGTGTGTGTGTGTGTGTGTGTGTGTGTGTGTGTGTGTGTGTGTGTGTGTGTGTGTGTGTGTGTGTGTGTGTGTGTGTGTGTGTGTGTGTGTGTGTGTGTGTGTGTGTCAGCTGGCTCTCCTCAACCCCATACAGAACCCAGACCTGGAGCTGGCCATCGTCATGCTCATCGTTCCGTTCTTCGTCAACGTAAGTCCGCTGTTACTTTGTGTTTCTCTTTGCCCCCTCATTTCACTGCTCCGGCTTCACCAACGCTCGACATGTCAAGTTTAATTCAGATTCATCCTTTTTTGTTCATACCATGTTCATTCTCTCGTGTGTTTATGAATGTAAAAAAATAACTTCTATTGTTTCCCGGTGGCGAGATATAATTCACGGAAGTATTTTCTGTTTGCTTTTAGGCCCTCATGTTCTGGGTGGTAGATAATTTCCTCATGAAGAAGCACAGGACAAAAGCAAAGCTGGAGGAGAGAGAGGAGGACTCGCGGGGGAACAGCAAGGTGCGCTACAGACGAGCTCTGTCCCATGACGACTCCGAGTCCGAGGTAAGTGTCACTTCAGTTCAATCAGCAGAGACTAACAACCCTCACTCTTTAGCGATAAGACCCCAATCATGATAACACATATCTTAAGGGGGATGTGCAGCAGTAAGTAGAATAGGAACTCCCCAGGGGTCTAGGCCGCAGCATTAATGCCTGAAATCACAGCTGACTGCAGGAGAGAGTAGAACACATTTATATGTTGACTGCAGAACGATGATCGGCTGCTGGAGATTGTGGTAAAATGTAATTGTCTAAGAGTGGTTGCCCATAATGAGCTCTTCTTGACTGAACTAACGCTTTAGCTACATTTAAACAACTGTCGGCACACCTGAGTTGAAGGAGACCAACAATCAAGGATTTAGACTACAGCCTTTCTGAAACAGTCCCAGTATGGCACACTGATGTTACTGTTTAAAGCTCAGCTGCAAGGCCTTGTGGGAATGCATTATTTGCTTTCCTTTCGTGAAGGATGGTCAGCGTATCCTATGCTAAAGGAGTTCACTAAGAGAGCATTGAAGCAACTTTCCTTATCAAAAGCATCCTCCCCTCTGTCATGAACCTTGGAGTGACCTTCAATAGCGCTTTTAAATTTGATAAGCAGGTCAGCACCGTAATCAAGACCTGCTTTTTTTTTAAATACGACTATTGGCCAAGACCAAGTCGTTTTTATCTTTTAAAGACCTAGAAAGGGTTATTAACGCCTTTGTTACCACGAGGCTGGATTATTGCAACGCTCTGTATGTGGGTATGGACCAGGCGTCAATTAGACGCCTCCAGCAAGTGCAGAACGCAGCTGCACGTCTTCTCACTGGCCACAAAAAGCGTCACCACATCACCCCAATTCTGGCCTCACTGCACTGGCTTCCAGTTCGGTTCAGAATTGATTTTAAACTTATTTTATTTGTTTTCAAAGCCCTAAATGGGCTGGCTCCGGCTTATAGCAGAACTCCTCCAGCGCTACATCCCAGCCAGAGCCTTAAGATCCGCTGACCAGCTGCTGCTGGTAGTGCCCAAGACCAGGTTCAAAACCCGAGGTCACCGAGCCTTCGCAGCAGCTGGCCCCAGGCTCTGGAACACTCTGCCCCTCCATGTGAGGTCGGCCCAGACCCTAGGGGTTTTTAAATATACACTAAAGACTCACCTCTTCTCTCTGGCCTTCTAGTCAGAGCGGAGCACGACTCCTGACATTTCCCTGTGTTTTGATTTTTATATTTGCTGTTGTAATTGATTGTCTTCTGTTTGCTATCGCACTAAAGTGTTTTTATTACGTGTACAGCACTTTGGCTCGACCAAAAATCGTTTTTTAAAATGTGCTATATAAATAAAACTTGATTTGATCAAGAGAATTCAAACAGTTCTTATCATGGCTGCCATTTAGGTTCTTCCGGGTCATTTCTCTCAGTTAGGAACCTTTTTAAAGGGGCTCCATTATGCTTTTGGGGGTTGAACCTGAAAATGAGCATAATATGTCCTCTTTAGGCAAAAAAGACCACCCGAAGCACACCCCAATGTCCAGGCTCTCAGACGCAGTGCATTGTGGGGCAGTCGAGTAGGTGAAAAAAACCTGGACGCATACTCAGATCGTGGCAAAGAAGTAGTATATTTTGTGTATGAATACTTTTTAAGTACACAAACCCTCAGTGAGAACAGAAAGGGAGTATGAGGCAGGCTGTTGATTCCTCAGTGTTATAGTTTCCTTTAACATGTATAAACGTTGATGGCATAGAGTTGTCCCCTGACCGATTATCGATCAAGGATATTCTTCTTTGGTATTACTGATTATTGGATATTGAATGCTTGGAAAGTGACAGGAAATGCTAAGGAAAAGAGTGTCATGCAGCAGAAGGCCCTTGAAGTTCTCAGTGTGTGTACTTCACTAAAAGAATAAAAAAATGAAAATACTCAGTTAAAATTCCTACTTTCAAAATGTTACTCAAGTAGAAGTACAACAGTATTATTAAGCATCAAAATAGACTAAGTTAAAGTAAAAAGAAAAAGCACTCAGAGGCCCATGTCAAAATCATATATGTTAAGTTTTTGTATTATAATTATTGATTCAGAATCAGAATATCATTATCCGTCCCACAGATAATGTGTTTGTTGCAGCTGGTAAAGGATGAGCTAACTTAAGGTCTGTATTTACTGCTGTGTAGCTGGTAGAGAAGAACAGGTTAGGCATAACAGGAAGAGGAAGTATCAGGTATTCAGGTTTGTGTTTTTTGCTGCTCCTCTGTGTTTTCTGAGCCACACAGAGGCCGGTGGTGTAATGGATAACACATTGATTTGACTATGAATCAGAAGATCCCGGCTCTCCCTCCTCCCCGGCTCGTGAATTACTTTTGACGTTAATATGTCCATCTATCGACCCATTTACTTTCTTGGTCTGAAGTGTGTGTAGCAGACACAAGCACTGTCCATATCTAGATTTATCCAAGATCGTTTTACTAGGAAGTGTTTAGAGTGGTCAAATGATTGCAACGATTAAACCCAGATTACACACTTGTAGTGCACACATGTCCCTGCAGCTTGTCTTTGTAAACCGGATTCGCCATCTCCCTTTTTCCCCTTTTTCTTTTAGTTCAAACACCTTTGAATCCAAGTTGTCTCTGAGGTTGTGGTCACACATGTAAAGTGACTCACTGTACCAGAGGCAGCAAAAGCAGAGGCAACCTAAAGTCGTTTTTGCCTTCTCTCTTATATCTTAAAGGTCCCCTATTATACTCTTTTTCAACAAAAATATTATAGGTCTCAGATATATATATATATACAGGGTTTCCCACACATAGACTATACTTGGGCGGGCCGCCCAGGTATATTAACGGCCGCCCAAGTATATTTCGCGACCCATTTAGTTTTTTTTAGTTTTTTTTATAATTTTTTTTTTATGTTTTTATTTTTTTTTATTCGTCCGTGACCACGATGCCATCTGCGATCGATTAACTTGTAGACAATGATCCCTCGCTCCCTTGCTCTGATCTCGCCTCCTTCTGGCCTGTTAAGTGGCCTGCCTCACACAGGGTGACTGGCTGTCCACATGATGTGGCCTGCCGACATGGCCACTGTCATACAGATCATAAATCAAAGCCCTTGATTGGTCTCTGTGTGTCATTCAAGCTCGGGATAACCTCAGCTCAGGTGAGGTAAAGGACTTTCTGAGTGTTTAGATAGTTAACTTAGTCTAAGTTTTCAGTGGGTCTCAAACGGTGTGGTCACCATTTATGTAAACACATATTTCCATTTGAGAGGGTAGTGATTGGTCTAATGGATAGTGAGGCGGGCTGAAGATCGGAAGGCTGTGAGTTCAAATCCCGCCAGGAACACCACCACTAGTGTGCCCTTGAGTAAGGCACTTAGCCCTTAGTTACTCCAGGGAGAATGTCCCTGTAATCGGTCATTATAAGTCGCTTTGGATAAAAGCGTCAGCTAAATTACATGTAATGTGATTAGTAAAATATGCATGAATAAATAAATAAAAAGTTAACTAGGTGAAAAAAGGTAAGATACACTTTTAAAACTTGTTCATAGAAAACTAGTCTTTGCTGCTGCCTCAAAGAGGAGCAGGGGGAGAGGATGGAGAGGGGGGAGAGGAGGGAGAGGGGGGAGAGGAGGGAGACAGGAGAGGCTGATTCAGGAGCACAGACACACTCCCAACTATAAATGAACCAAAAATAAATTAACAAGTTTCAGTGTTTTTTTCATATTGGAAATGGGATGTTGTTGGTTATGGCCTTGATTTTATGATTATTGAAATGTATACAGTTCTGTTTAATATAGGTGTTTCCATAGATCTAGTCTCTTTATTTTCCCCCTCAAAATGCACCAGATTGATGCATTTAACTCCAAAATAAAAAATAAAATCTTACCGGGGGGGCATGCCCCTGGACCCCCCTAGAGGATTTGAGGTCGACCCCCACTAAAAATCACATGGATAGGTTCCTAAATACATTAATAAATACATTTATTTTTTTAAATAGTAGCCCATTTCCATATGTTCATGTGTGGGTAGTAGATTTAAACTATAGGGCTATCATTATGGGCCCTGCCTGTACCTGTTCGCTCTGCCATCGCGTGAAGGGTCTGCTAACAAGCGACCAACAGAAAGGTTAATGTTAATGTTGTTGCACGTCACCTCAACCCCCCCCCGCTACCACCACCCCCCAAAGTATATTTCAGATCTGTGGGAAACACTGGCAGTTAATGGACCAGCACCAGAGGCATTCCCATACACACAGGCGTTGGAGCTGTTCTTCATGAAATCCCAGAAGGATGAAGTGCTCTGACAAACAGTGCCATCTTTGCGCAAAATGATTATACCGGAATGAAAAGTCAATAAATAATGTTGTTAAAACTTTTTTTTTTTTTCGCGCACCCCCCCCCCCCTTGCCACCACCCGCCCAAGTATATTTCATATCTGTGGGAAACACTGATATATATATATATATATATATATAAAACATGTCTCTGAAGTGTTTGGCTCGAAATACCAAACAGATCATGCATTGTAGCATCCCATAATCCCCTCTGTTTCAGCCCTGTTTCAAAAGTGCTGATTATGTGTCTGTAGCTTTAAATACAAATGAGCTGCCGATTTACTACTTCCATCAATCATAACTTTTTAGTTTGACATTCGATTGCATTAAGGCTTTATGATATCCTTCACAGTAGACATTTGAACATATACAATTGCTGATCACCACTTTCATTGAATTTTGGATGATTTAGTCAACTTTGTAACAAAAATGACTGCCATAAAGAAAAGGAATTGGTAACCATCCAGATCAGATAGAACACACACATACTCTAGATGTGTGCCCATCCCCCACGTGGATCACACCTGGCACACGCAATACATGTTCAGTGTCTATTCTGTGTATATTTACTGCAGTTGTTCATGTACACCAGTAGTCTGATACATTATGTACAGTTTGAAAGGGTGTTAAATGAAATTTGGTGATGATTAATGGTTTTTGTGTTAATGTAATAGCAGTTAAAACAGGACCGGTCAAATTTGACCGTGAACACCAAAGTAAGGGGGGGGGGGGGGGGACAAAGACAATAGGAGGGTTTTAAGTCATGAGAAATCTGATAATATCAAATTCAATTCAATATCAGAATGGGGAAAGTAGTAAAACATGTTATTTTCCATTCAAATATAACTGCTGGTGACTGCTGTAAAAGATCAACAGTGTTGTTTTTGTCAGATAGTGGTGCATTCCTTGTCAGTGGGCTAGTGAGGAAATGTAGAGCTGCTTTGAGGCATTTTAACATTTGAATGGTCAAAGCATTGCAAACAAAAGCCAGCCTCATGGCCTGTTGCACTGCATGCTTGTGTTCTGCAGCTGCCTGGTAGAGAGCTCGCTTTCTGCAGCGCCTGAGCTGTGGGGGAAGGGCAGAGCTGCTCCAGCTTCTATAAATAGCTCACAACAGCAGAGAGTTTCACAGCGGGCCAGTGGCGCAATGGATAACGCGTCTGACTACGGATCAGAAGATTCTAGGTTCGACTCCTGGCTGGCTCGTGGATCTTTTTCGTTGTGTGGAATCCGGCTTTAGCTGATCTTATTATCAAAATAAAAGTATTACTTGATCATGTTTTTCAGAGGAAACGGATTTAGAAGCATGTTAGTCACCGTGGCTTCTTCCCACAGCAGATACATTACTGAGTAACACAGAAACAGGACTTCTCTGTGCTTTAACATACATAACTTAACATACAACACACGTGTTATGTTTTCTGGGGGGCTTCATCGACTGTGATAATAACCTTTATGTCATGCGGGTTCTTTTTGGTTTGGGCTTGAGGCATAACATTTACAACAGAAAGCGTGCCTTACAAACGGTAGGGGGAAGGGTTTGAAATAAGTGAGGCGGGGAGATTCTAATAAAAGCTGTTATCTAGCTGTGCCCAGTGTTTTTAGAGGATGATCCATTCTGAGGACTATAGAGATATGGAGGGCAACTGCTGTTTTGAGTTTACCACTCGTTTACATGTTCTTGAGACCCACAACCAAATGTGAAAAACAATATTGTTGGACCCCTTTTTGAGTCACAGCAGTCATCATATCCTCAGTCGAAGTAGAAAAAACAGCTAACGTTATGTATTTAATTAACTCTTATGGCTAAACATGGCTTATTTCCTTGTTTAGCTTTGCAATATATTCCAGTTTTTAAGAGTTGAAGAAGATCCTTGGATTCATCTCAAAACATTCAGCCATTTACCACAACAAATATATAAAAAAACAACCCAGATATTGTAAAGATTGGGCTTTTCTTTGGGCATTTCTGAAGTGCTGTATCCCTTTGAACTCAGCCTCATGAACATGCCTCCCACTTTGTTGTAATGGTTGCTTATCTCTCTTCTCTGTTTCATAGATCCTTTTCTCAGCAGACGATGAAATGGACGAGTCGGACGAAGACGATATTCGCCGGCTCACCGGCATGAAGACGGTGAAGAAGAAGAAGCTTCGCATGGGGATCCCTGTTTGACCCGTGACCACAGGGTCAGATTTCCTCTGGTAGCTGCTCACCTCGCATATACACTCCCCTTCCCTCCACAGATGCCCTTCGACGACAGAAGAAAGTACTGTAACTGAATTCCCTTTACGGTGACTCCTGGAGGACGGCCAACCTGGGATTTCATTTGACTCACTGGGAGACATTCGTTCAATTCGCCGGGTTCTTCGGATCCCTGTTGCATTTTGACATGGCACATCTGGGAGTTTCGGAAAAGGAATCCACCATGAACAACTGAAATATCGTTGAGTCCTTAATGTACGTGTAATAGGAAACCGGTAACACTGGTTTAATAAGTTTTGGACTTCAGTGTGTGTGGTTGTGACAGTAAAAGGCCACAAGGAACATCATGCAAAGAAACTGTCCTATGGGTTTGTTACCTTTGGTATTCAAACGTTTCCATTAAGGTGATTGTATTCCTGATGTTTATGTAAATGTTTTTTCACATAGATGTACCACCATGGCCGTGTGTGTGTGTGTGTGTATGTGCAGGGCTGTCCCTGGCCAACATGAGGCCCCACGCAAAGTTATATGATGAGGCCCTCTGTTTCGCGAGCGTCGACGGGGGACGGGGGGTGCTAGTGGAGCCTTGCAGCGGCGAAACCGTGCCGCGCCACACTCATTTCGGCTCAGTTGAGGCACCCTCCGCAAGGTGAGGCCCCAGTCTGCATGGTCGCCCTGTAGGGAGGTGTGTGTGTGTGTGTGTGTGTGTGTGTGTGTGTGTGTGTGTGTGTGTGTGTGTGTGTGTGTGTGTGTGTGTGTGTGTGTGTGTGTGTGTGTGTGTGCTGTGTGGTGTGTGTGTGTGTGTGTGTGTGTGTGGTGTGTGTGTGTGTGTGTGTGTGTGTGTGTGTGTGTGTGTGTGTGTGTGTGTGTGTGTGTGTGTGTGTGTGTGTGTGTGTGGTGTGTGTGTGTGTGTGTGTGTGTGTGTGTGTGTGTGTGTGTGTGTGTGTGTGTGGAGACAAACCTTTACGCATTTTGTCAGTGTTTGAATCACTGTACTTATGCAACTCTTCCAGCACAGTAACTCACTAAACTACTGCATATCTCGTTTGTAATGTTACTCGTGTCATTAATGCTTGCAGCAACCTTCCATCTGTATCTTGACCGAGTACTTTCCACTGTTAGACCTGTAGGACTGCAACATCCCTCGAATATCAGCTCGGCATGTGTCTTCTTGTGATCGTTTTACCGATGTATTTTGTCATTGAATGTCTTTTGTCTCGTTTTTGGGATCTTTTTTGTATAGAATTCGGTGTTATTTTTGGGCCAAAAAGGTGACTATGCTTGTTCCAAAAGTGTTCTTTATTCCTTAACTCCAACAGGGAGAGCAGATACGGGAACCATTTCTTGCACAATTTCCCTGCTTTCAACTTTCCTTTTTGTGTGATAGTTGTTACTTTTTTGTGTTACAAAAATGTGCCTGAGTGAAATTACCAGCAGGTGTTTGTTGTTGTCTTTTTGTTGGTTAGTTTTTGGACTGTTTTTATCCAGAGCTCCAGATGTTCAGGCATGAAGCAGCATTCAGCAGGCTCTGATGTTAAGAATGTGACATGCATAGACCTCTAAACTGTTAAGTGACTGCAGACCAGACAGAGAAAGTAAAGGGTGTGTGTGTGTCAGTGTATATATAAAGTATAACTGCATGTACTGGTGTGGGCTGTATGAGTGTGTGTGTGTGTGTGTATAGTTGGTGTGGCTGCTGGTCCTCTTTAAAGTAAATGGAGAGTGACATATACTGTGATGGTGATGATTTCATTATGATGTTGTTGGCATGTTGGCAAGGAACATATGACTGCGCATTTTAAAGGAGGGAAATACAGAATGATGCAGCAGCTTTGGGAACTCAATCGGGACAAAGAGGGCTTTTAGGATTTTTCAAAGTGAAACTACTAGATCAGAGGTTTTCAAAGTGACCGTGTGGGCTCCAGGAGGAGCTCCCAACAGTCTTTAAAGAGGCTGAATGAAAGGAAGATCACACACCCTAAATGATTTGATTGGAAATGGTTCAGATATTCTGCAGTATTTGGGGACATTTAAAAAATGTTTCCACTGTCAGGAACTATTACATTCCTAGGATATACCCTTTTTACGTATTTGCTTTAGTACGAGGCTATCTTGACTCAATTGATGGCTGACTGTTATCAAATAATATATTCATGAGACCATAGGCATCCAGCCATTGAGCTAAAGTAATGGGGGGGGGGTACTTTCTGTTGTGCTCTGAAGGGAGGCCTACTGTCCCACACTTTGAAAACCACTGCTATAGATGAGAACAAAGAAAAGTGATGGAGGTAAATTATCATTCTAAATGCTTTTCCAATAAAGGATGTGATACACTACCTTCATAACAGACTACTTCAGTTTATTTCACGGTTTCAGTTTTGTGATATGGGATTCCAGAAAAGGCGTGTTTTGAACTTGTATGTGTGAGTTCGATGTCTTCACCTCTGATTCTTCAGGATAAAGTGGCTTCAGAGAGTCTTCCTCCGCAGGGCTACACCGTCAAGCTGGAGGGAGAAGAGAGCGCAACGTGATCCATCTCTCTGTGGTACACCTTCAGGGTGGATGATCCCCACACTGCATGCAGGCCAGCAGAGGGGCTGTTTATAGACATGTGCTTGTATTGGAGCTCAAGTAGCTGTTATAGGCAGCACCCTAAAGCCTTTAAACAAACATTTATTCTAAGGTGAATCAACAAGAAGGGACTGCATGACTTGTTTTTTCATACAGATGGGTTGCAGTAAATTTGATTTTTTCTTCATAGCTCTAGTTTAATTTCTTTGAACTGGCTGCTCATTTCACTCAGTGATATGTCGTTGTATGTGCTCCATAATGGTCATAGCACTTTTCATAATGTTTTTGTTAATGCATACTGTAGCAGTGCTGCTGTTTTCAATCAGTCATATGGTTTTCTGCCCTTACTTGTGAGATGGCGTGAAGTTGCTGAGTAGTAACAACTTGACCACCAGGGTGCGGTATAGGTTAACATGGAGAACAATCCAGCTGCAACTGATACCAGCTAATTAAATCATTGTAAAAAGGTTTGTGTAAATAAACGTGTGTGCATTGCTTGTTCTTTACCACCAGGCAGATTCACACAGCAGACTGACAGGAGAGGCGCAGTTGCCACTAGAGACGCCATCCTTCAGTCCTGATTGTATATCCAAAAATAGATCCAGATGGTAGGCTACTTATAGCTTCTTACAAATACCTAAGGGAAGACACACACTTATCATCAGGCGTCATGGTCATCCTTCGGGAGCTCTTGAAAAATACTTGACATCCTGCTCATCAGCTCCAGATAACATATAAGCCAGTTTTCTGGACGTGATTTCAGCCCATGTCGAGAACAAGCATATCATTTGTTGTGTTGGTTGTTTTTCTGTCATACATAAGTACAGCTTATAAAGGAGGTTAGAGGACGCATGTGCAATTACCTTAAGCCTTGCATTTTTATAATTAGCGCCTGCATAAACATGTATTATCTCGTAAGACAAACAAATGGCTAGTTTAGCATTTCCTACCAGATTCAGTGGGAATACTCGCAAACATTAGGAGTTAGATTCTGTTTTTTTAATAATGTTTAAATCTTTATGTCAGGACAGATTCTGTACTCTCCCATTTTAAGGATTGGACAGCCATCAGCTTTAATTGAATATCTCCAAACTGTGATGCTGCCTAAATGAGTTCACACCTCAATATAGTGAGTCAGTTTCCCACAGTTCACATCACACCTCAATATAGTGAGTCAGTTTCCCACAGTTCACACCTCAGTTTCAGAAAGTGATGTCGAGTTTTCTGACTGCTAAATAGGCCTATTGACTTAACTGTTTGCTTACTGATTTCATCTCAAATATATATTTTAAGATGATATCAGTAAGCAAACAGCTAACGGGAACCCAATGAGTGAAACAAGTCACATGGACACAAGCAAATGTGTTTGTTGTCTGTCATTTTTTTTAAATTGTATTCATGGTTTATTTTAACTATTTAATAAGTGGGCCCAATGTGAGGGTTTTCACTTCCTCTATCGTAACCTTCTAAATGAGTGTAGATTTCTGAACTAGACGTATACCATCTTACAAACTAAATATTTTCAGATGGAGATCCCTGTAGAAAAATCGTTTCAATTGTGTATCCCATGGGGCCTTGACATGAAAAAGATTAAAAAGGAAACACTCATCAATTGCAAACATGTTCAAATTAGGTTTAATATTTAGAGCATGATCAGAATATCCTTTTACACATAATTTCCCTTCTTGATTTATTTAATATTGTGAGGTTTTGCTTTCACCTTAACAGGGAGATTCAAGTATTTCCTGAAACATAAGACATTTTCATGACTGAAGTTCAACACCACATATAAAAAAACGATACCATTTGAATATAGACCTGCCTATGCTAAAAATGTTGTACATATGTTGCCTATTACTCACAATAAAAAAGCACTACTGGCCTTACTGTGTGACTCAAACAAGGTGGTGGGAAAGTTTTCTTAGCTGTCTTTTTGGTTAAGCCCTAAATGTGTTGGGTCATGTGTTGACTGTCTGAAAATGCTTTTATCAAGATCTACAATGTCCTCAGGCTTGAACAAAGTTGCAGCAATAGACAGGCGGAGTCCCGGAGCTACAGGGAAGAGGTGGCGATCCGTTTTTAGTCACACAACAACATTTAAAAGATGGGGTATCTCTGCCAGGAGAGGAGGGGGCCAACAGCCACTTGTGTCCTGCATTATCAGCTGTTGACCTGTAAGCTTATCGTAAAAAAATGGGAGACCCGTTCCAACTGTAGGATCCTTCACGTCACACCTAATAATAAACCCTGACAACAGACAGAGTGGGACAGAGGGTAGGGGTCTGACCAGGACTATATATACTGTCTGGCTGGTATACACACACTAGAAAACTAACAGCAGATCTATCACACTGCAAAGAGGCTTCTGTGCATTCATTTAACCAGCTTTAATAAATATGTCACAGGTACGTTTGGTCTGATAATGGTGTTTTGGTTATTTACAGTGCATTATGTGTGATGACAGGTTGTTTACACTCTTAGCGTTCCTGCTTTTTACTCCTAACATACCACCTTTGTTCAATTCACTCCAGCCAGATGAGGTGAAGAGGAAGAAGCGTCCCCCGATGAAGGAGGAGGACCTGAAAGGAGCTCGCAGTAAACTGGGACTGAAGGGCGAGGTCAAGAGTAAGACCTATGAGGTCATGGAGGAGTGTGGTGAGTCAAGCCTTTTGTCATTCTTCTGAAAAACAAGACAAGTGATGTAACTCCTTGTCAGATGTTAAGCTCTCTATGTAAAGATATTTTGAAGCACTTTCTTTACAGCAGTTACATTTCTTTTATTTATTCATGCTTGGTCTGTAGACTTCAAATAATATGTTTCTTGACAGTTTAATTATATAACTTGACTGTCTTATTAACAACTGAAGAGACTTTATCTAACATTGAGTCATTTGAGGTGGTGGATGAGTCTCTGTTTTTAGATGCTATGTTTCATAGACAACATATTTATTCATCAATAAATACATATATTAACGGTGAAATAAACACAGAAATGTAAATATTTTTAATTTAATACATTTGAATAAATAAAATGCTAAATAAATCAAAGCTGAAATGATTACATTGATACATTGGCATAATTAAAATGTGAAATGAAGAAAATACAAATGTTATAGAAATGAAGAAATTAAAACGTTTTTCCCAACATGTATTGTATGTAATTCATGTATTTATAGATTAAGTAAAGCCTTTATGCATTATGTCAA